TTGAAGTCGTTAGACTGAAAATTTAACAATGGGAATATAAAACGGATGGGCAAGTAAAAGTGTCCACTTACCCAACTTGGGGGATTGTACATAGAAAATCCACCCCGTGGGTTAACATGGAGAAATTCCTCCTCTTCTCCCTTGTACAAAGCGGACAAGGTCTTTATTAGAGCGGCAGCCGAATCCGGCCCCTTACGGCCGTAGCGGGTGGCATCGTCCTCCCCGTTGAAGTCCCACATGGGGCGGCCTCTATACTGAAGCGGCCGCACCCCTCGCATGATGCATGCGGCCATGACCCCGATCATGGTCAGTCCGGAATGAGCTAACAATCTTATCCGGCCCATCAGGTAAATAACGTCCCTGTCACTTTCCCTCTGAGGGCTCCGTGGACGCCAGCTTAGGCGCTTCTTCGAGGGAGCACTGTCGAACTCAGGGAGGCCGATCCGGACAGGATCCGGCAGCGGGACGTCCTCTATATAAAACCATTTCGAAGGCCAGTCTTCGGACGCCTTCTTTGGGGTTCCGGATAGATATCCGGTCCCGGCGATGCGCCACACCTCGGCTCCGCCCACTTGATATATTGACCCCTCCTTAGAGCGGGGCACAAGGCAGAATAGCCTTTTCCACAGCACGAAATGAGCCTCGCAGCCCAAGAACAGCTCGCAAAGGGCTATGAAGCCCGCGATATGCAATATGGAGGCAGGCGTGAGGTTGTGCAGCTGGAGGCCATAGAACTCCAGAAGCCTCCAGAGAAACGGATGAATTGGAAATCCGAGCCCTCTTATTAAGTAAGGGGCAAGGCATACCCACTCTCCTTTGGAGGGATTGGGTGCGCTCTCCGCTTGCTCTCCGCCATTATAGGTGGCAAGTCCGGCTCGAACCGGGACCATATAGGCCAGGGGGAGAAATCCCTTGGTCTGGAGCGTCACTAGCTCGCTGTGCGGGATGGAGCACCTCTTCCAATCTCCAGGCAGAGGGCTGGAAGGGCAGGATGAGGAGCTGCGGCGGCTGGCCATGATGGAATGGACCTCTGTCGGATACGCTCTGATGAATACTCGCGGAAGGGAGAAGGTGTGGTTTGGATCTAAATCCTCGTCCCCTTAAATAGGCGGCTCATTCACGTGGCTAGGGGTGTAAATATAAAAAACACCTTGACTTTTCGTATTCGTTTGACACGTGGTAAACGGCCATTATTGGGCGTAGAAGCCAAGGAGCACTACATTTACAAGAAACCAGACACTGTTCAACAGGTACACGGAATTTGGAGAAGAACCTGCCTTGCAATGCCGAAGACAATTTGGGCGCCGGACTCGTCATCATTGAAGCCTAGTTCGGGGGCTACTGAGGGAGTCCTGGATTAGGGGGTGTCCGGATAGCCAGACTATACCTTCGGCCAGACTCCTGGACTATGAAGATACAAGATTGAAGACTTCGTCCTGTGTCTGGAAGGGACTTTCCTTGGCGTGGAAGGCAAGCTTGGCGATACGGATATGTAGATATCCTACCATTGTAACCGACTCTGTGTAACCCTAGCCCTCTCCGGTGTCTATATAAACCGGAGAGGTTTAGTCCGTAGGACGAACAACAATCATGCCATGGGCTAGCTTCTAGGATTTAGCCTCTCTGATCTCGTGGTAGATCTACTCTTGTACTACCCGTATCATCAATATTAATCAAGCAGGACGTAGGGTTTTACCTCCATCAAGAGGGCCCAAACCTGGGTAAAACATCATGTCCCCTGCCTCCTGTTACCATCCGGCCTAGACGCACAGTTCGGGACCCCCTACCCGAGATCCGCCGGTTTTGACACCAACAACGTTGATAGAATTTCTCTTGATGTTGATTCTTTGAAACTTAGATCTATTACACCTAAGCATGATATCAATGAGTCTCTCAAAGCCATGAGAATTTCCATTGATGAGTGCAAAGAAAGAACCGCTAGGATGCGTGCTAAGAAAGATGCCTTTATAAGAGCGTGTTCTTCTAGTTCCTATGAAAATAAAGATGAATATCTAAAAGTTATTGATGTGTCCCCTATTAAATCTTTGTTTTGCAATATGAATCTTAATAATGATGGGACTGAATATGATCCACCTTTACCTAGAAGGCGTTCCAAAAATCTGGAGTTTTAGATCTTGATGCTAAAATTGATGAAAGTGGGATTGAAGAAATTAAAACCCTAGATGTTGCTAAGCCCACTATTTTGGATTTCAAGGAATTTAATTATGAAAATTGCTCTTTGATTGATTGTATTTCCTCTTTGCAATCCGTGCTAAATTCTCCTCACGCTTATAGCCAAAATAAAGCGTTCATTAAACATATCGTTGATGCCTTGATGCAATCTTATGAAAAAAACTTGAATTGGAAGTTTCTATTCCTAGAAAACTTTATGATGAGTGGGAACCTACTATTAAAATTAAAATTAAAGATCATGAATGCTATGCTTTGTGTGATTTGGGTGCTAGTGTTTCCACGATTCCAAAGACTTTGTGTGATTTGCTAGGTTTTCGTGATTTTGATGATTGCTCTCTAAACTTGCACCTTGCGGATTCCACTATTAAGAAACCTATGGGAAGAATTAATGATGTTCTTATTGTTGCAAATAGGAATTATTTTCCCATAGATTTTATTGTTCTTGACATAGATTGCAATCCTTCATGTCCTATTATTCTTGGTAGACCTTTCCTTAGAATGATTGGTGCAATTATTGATATGAAGGAAGGAAATATTAGATTCCAATCTCCGTTAAGGAAAGGCATGAAACACTTTCCTAGAAAGAAAATTAAATTACCTTATGAATCTATTATGAGAGCCACTTATGGATTGCCTACCAAAGATTACAATACCTAGATCTATCCTTGCTTCTTATGCCTAGCTAGGGGCGTTAAACGATAGCGCTTGTTGGGAGGCAACCCAATTTTATTTTTATTCCTTGATTTTTGCTCCTGTTTAGTAATAAATAATTTATCTAGCCTCTGTTTAGGTTGTGTTTTTTGTGTTTAATTAGTGTTTATGACAAGTAGAACCGTTGGGAAGACTTGGGGAAAGTCTTGATATCTTGCTGTAAAAAACAGAAACTTTAGCGCTCACGAGAACTGCTGCCATTTTTATTTGGAAAGCGATATTTAGTTAATTCTTTTTGAAGATGATTAATAGATAAATTCATCACGTCCATAAATTTATTTTAGAATTTTTGTGGTTCCAGATCTTGCGCTATCTACAGATTACTACAGACTGTTCTGTTCTTGACAGATTCTGTTTTTCGTGTGTTGTTTGCTTATTTTGATGAATCTATGGCTAGTAAAATAGTTTATAAATCATAGAGAAGTTGGAATACAGTAGGTTTAACACCAATATTAATAAAGAATGAGCTCATTACAGTACCTTGAAGTGGTCTTTTGTTTTCTTTCGCTAACGGAGCTCACGAGATTTTCTACTTTAAGTTTTGTGTTGTGAAGTTTTCAAGTTTTGGGTAAAGATTTGATGGATTATGAAACAAGGAGTGGCAAGAGTCTAAGCTTGGGGATGCCCAAGGCACCCCCAAGATAATCTAAGGACACCTAAAAGCCAAAGCTTGGGGATGCCCCGGAAGGCATCCCCTCTTTTCGTCTACTTCTATTGGTAACTTTACTTGGAGCTATATTTTTATTCACCACATGATATGTGTTTTGCTTGGAGCGTCTTGTATGATTTGAGTCTTTGCTTTTTAGTTTACCACAATCATCCTTGCTGTATACACCTTTTGAGAGAGGCATACATGATTTGGAATTTGTTAGAATACTCTATGTGCTTCACTTATATCTTTTTGAGTTATATAGTTTTGCTCTAGTATTTCACTTATATCTTTTAGAGCACGGTGGTGGATTTGTTTTATAGAAATTATTGATATCTCATGCTTCACTTAGATTATTTTGAGAGTCTTAAATAGCATGGTAATTTGCTTAAATTATCCTAATATGCTTGGTATTCAAGAATAGTAAAAACTTTCTTATGAGTGTGTTGAATGCTATGAGAAGTTTGATGCTTGATAATTGTTTTGAGATATGGAGATGGTGATATTAGAGTCATGCTAGTTGAGTAGTTGTGAATTTAAGAAATACTTGTTTTAAAGTTTGTGATTCCCGTGGCATGCACATATGGTGAACCATTATGTGATGAAGTCGGAGCATGATTTATTTATTGATTGTCTTCCTTATGAGTGGCGGTCGGGGACGAGCGATGGTCTTTTCCTACCAATCTATCCCCCTAGGAGCATGCGCGTAATACTTTGCTTTGATAACTTGTAGATTTTTGCAATAAGTATATGAGTTTTTTATGACTAATGTTGAGTCCATGAATCATACGCACTCTCACCCTTCCACCATTGCTAGCCTCTCTAATACCGCGCACCTTTCGCCGGTATCATACACCCACCATATACCTTCCTCAAAACAGCCACCGTACCTATTTATTATGCACTATTAGGAAAAGGGCTACTAGTAGCGTGGGTTTGTTAGCTATCGGTAGCGCTGGTGCCCACGCTACTGCTATGACGCTACAGCTAAATTTTAGCAATAGCGCGTTTTTTACCCCACCCTACAGCTACTCCTAACTACTACTACTCCTAACTACTAGTAGCGTGTCATTCTTCCCCCATGCTACTACTCTTCCAAGTACTGGTAGCGTGCCATTCTTCCCCCACGCTGCTACTATTCTAAGTACTAGTAGCATGCCATTCTTCCCCCACGCTATTGCTAAGTAATTAGAATTTTTTTAAAAAAAATTACATGCAATATTCATGGATGGAAAACAAGACACATCCAAGGCAAAATAAAATGTCACAGAACCATCTTAGCACTTGCAACATTCATGGATACAACATTGAACATCTAATCACGAGATACCATTTATACATCAGACGCACACAACCGTCACCGAAAGGTGGGTACCTTCCCTAGCGTTCCACCACCAACCTAACATGACCACTTCTCTAGATGTATCTACCAAGGCGTCGAGGTCCTTCACCTTGGCAACCTCGAGACGGTGGCGTCGAGGTCCTCCACCTCGACGACCTCGAGACGGTGGCGTCGAGATCCTCCACCTCGGCAACCTCGAGACGATGGCGTCGAGGTCCTCCACCTCGATGACCTCCAGACGGTGACGTCAAGGTCCTCCACCTCGGCGAGCTTCGGCATCGCAATCACCTAGACAATCATCTGTGTGACGCGGTCGCCGGGCTTCACAGCAAAATCCGCCTCCGAGTTGTTGAAGAGCACGACGCCCACCGGGTCGCGGTAGTCTGCGTCGATCACCTCTGCGCCCATGTCCGGAAAGTGAAAACATGTTAGTTCGCTTTCTTGTGAGTAGGGTATTTTCTTCATTTATCAGTCTCTTTTAGTCTATTATGAATCTCAAAACGGAAAGACACCTACTAAATGCATACCCTAGCTATACGTGTTCATGCTATCTTATCGTTTTGGTGCATACAAGAAATTTATACTTGTGTATTTGAGCTATATGTGCTTGCAATATTTGACAATTAACATTCTATTCAACATTTATTGTTGCATGGATAGGGAAATAGACAACCAAGGACTTCAGAAAATCGATTCCCAGTGCTTTTGAAAACAGGGAATATGAGAAGTCTATTGATATTCCATGCCAACTTCAAGTATATATGCTACTATGTAATCTTTGAACATGGATCAAAATGAGATTTCAGGCTTTGTCAACCTTACCATGATCAGTACTAAATTCTCTAGGCTGCTCAACCTTTCCTTGTAGAGAGCATTTCTTTCACCTAGTATCTCATCGTTAAGTTTGGGAAGAAACCTGCATACCATCAGATGGTCATCCATATCCTGAAGAAAAAAACAGTATACATTTTCAGTGACTCACAATATATCATCGAATACTGCTCTGGTTTACTCTAAGAATAATTGCTACAAGACTCTCTACATACATACAGGCAGATCAATTTTCACCAAGAATCAGCTAGCAGTCTAATATAATCCCCTTTCCAATTACTCGAGGAACTGATGAAAAGACAAGTTAATTAGCTGGTACAAAAATTAAACCTTTTGAGATGGACGGATGCCCTCTTCACTCAGATCTAAAGATGATGGACGGATGCACCCAACAGCTTTGTCGCGGACGGCGACGGAGGAGAAGATCTTTGCACATACCTTCAAACTCTATCACTATCTTCTACTTGTAAATGAAAACAAACCTTACTTATCAGAGAAGCAAATGTGAAATTGTTCAGATTAGATGTATTCAACAGACACTTCAATCACAAAGCTCAATATCTACTAGCTTAAATTCAAATGCTTTATTCAAGATTGAGATATCATACTGGACTCTGGCTGTACACTAACTACTCTATGAGGTTTCCATCTAAGAAACTATGTAGAGAGATAGTAAACCACTAGTCAGAATACGTAAAGAACAAACTTCGTGAAAGGAAGAGACGACGCCACGCGAAGGGCCCAAGCAGCAGTCGGTCAGCAACACGAAATCCAACTTTGTCTAGGCATTCATTCATAATTCAGCATCAAACTGGAAACTAGTGACAGTTTGTTTCTGGTGTCATCCGTTGCTTCAGCATCGCTGCAAAGTTCAGTAGTGCCTCCTACTCCTAGCATGGGATAAATTTTTCATCCGTCAGTCGTTACTGACCCAGCAAAAAACATACAGGAAAGACTAGGGGGATCACAACCAAGCCCTGTCTGGATCAATTACGCACCATATAATCCAGGTTCTTTAATATAACACTCCCTACAATCCAGGTTCCCCCGTGCAATAATATCTTGGGAGTTGGAATCAAATCTTAGTTACATATAGGAGTTATAGGTAGTACATACACGAACACCGAGACGGCGAGACTACATGATAGGATCAAAACGTCACAGCACAAACACTGCCCAGCTGCTTATGCTCTCAGGTTGGCCAACAATACAACCTCTGGCCAACTTTGGTGTTTATTATGATGTGAAACTTAATATTTAATTAGGCCAATTACCAGAGTCTGCCAAAGAAGAAAGTATATACCTTCAGTGTACAGTAAACTATTGAGATACTTCAACAAAAAAACGTATTAACGATTTAAAGTGGTTTACTAGGATGTGCAATTTAAATTGATTTGATGATGACTGATATAGGTTTTAAAGGTTGAAAATCCAAGCTCACCATATCTGATGTTGCCGCTGCCTTTGGAACTAGTGAATTACCAAGCACGTCCCTAATACACTGATCCTGCACACAATAATAATAGCTTTCGTAAAAAAAACTTCCAGACTCTGAAACAGGAAACTTTATCTGAAACAATTCGACAGACCTGTGACTGCAAAATTTCTTCAAGTGTATTGCTGCTGTTGTCTACAGACTCGTAGTAAACATCAATTAAGTCTGTAGGTTCAAGCTGAGTAGTCTTCCGTAATTTCTGGATTCTGTTTACAACCTGAAAATGGTTGCTCATGAATTAGGAGACCAGACTATTGACTGTGTTCATCAAAACGAAACTAGTGAATTTCCAGCATGATGCGTGCCAGACAAAATTAGTGAATTTTCAGGCATCAAGAAAATGAACCTATGCGTCAGCAGACAGCAAACATCTTTGTAAATTACAATAGGCCAAAGACCGACACAATTGTGTGAAACACAAACCCAAGAGCACCAATCCTATACTGACCCATCAAGCAAAACACACACGAAACGAGCAGCGGCCGCCCTCTGGATCCAGCAGCTTTGGCAATCAGTTACTACTGTAGTTACCTAGGAAGGGTCGTCCTCGCGACAGTGGGTGATGGACTCGCAGCCGCGGGTGTAGGGGTTGGCGGTGGTGCTGATGCGGCAGTTGTAGTAGGGCACCCCTGGCCGGGAGCACAACACAACGTCCCCCGTAGCGCGTCGTAGCTGATGTACCTCCGCCCGCCGCCGGTCGCCCACAGCAGCCGCCCGTGCGCCGCCGGTTCCGCGCCCATCTGCGTCGCCTCCACCCCCATGTCTACGTCCATGTCCAGGGTGGCGATGGTGATGGCGTCATGGCCTCCTCTCTCCTGCACGAGCAGCAGCAGCAGCAGGAGGATCAGCAGCGGCAAGACGAGGGTGGAGGAGGAGGGGGAGGGGGAGCTGAGATCTCAAAGATTGGAACGGTTGCTCTGACAGAGGAGATGAGGTTGAGGAAGGAGGGACGGGAGGCCGCCGGTGGAGGGGGTCTCGATCTAGATCTGGCTCCGGGTGGGTGGCGTGGGAGTGGACGGTTGGTGGCATAGCAATAGCGCGGCGTGTCCCCCCTGCGCTACAACTATTTATCTACAGATTTTATACCCCACGCTATGACTATTGTCTGTTGAGGGAAGGTGAAAATCATTTAGTAGCAACGCAGGGTTTTTGTGTCCGCGCTACTACTATGCTATACCAGCAGCGCGTTTTTTGCCCGCGCTACTACTAAGTAGCAAAGCGCGGGTCAAATAACCCACGCTACTACTAAATGTTTATCTATAAAGGTTTTCCTAGTAGTGATGGCATCTTCATAGTCATTTCGAGATATATTGCCATGCAACTTTCCATCGTTCCGTTTACTATGACATACTCCATCATTGTCATATTGCTTAGCATGATCATGTAGTTGACATCGTATTTGTGGCAAAGCCACCATTCATAATTCTTTCATACGTGTCACTCTTGATTCATTGCATATCCCGGTACACCGCCGGAGGCATTCATATAGAGTCATATTTTGTTCTAAATATCGAGTTGTAATTGTTGAGTTGTAAGGAAATAAAAGTGTGATGATCATCATTATTAGAGCATTGTCCCAGTGAGGAAAGGATGATGGAGACTATGATTCCCCCACAAGTCGGGATGAGACTCCGGACGAAAAATAAAAAAATAAAAAAAAGAAAGAAAGAAAAGAGGCCATAAAAAAGAGAGAAAGGGCCCAAATAAAAAAATGAGAGAAAAAGAGAGAAGGGACAATGTTACTATCCTTTTACCACACTTGTGCTTCAAAGTAGCACCATGATATTCATGATAGAGAGTCTCTTATGTTATCACTTTCATATACTAGTGGGAATTTTTCATTATAGAACTTGGCTTGTATATTTCAATGATGGGCTTCCTCAAAATGCTCTAGGTCTTCATGAGCAAGCAAGTTGGATGCACACCCACTTAGTTTTTTTTGTTGAGCTTTCATATACTTATAGCTCTAGTGCATCTGTTGCATGGTAATCCCTACTCACTCACATTGATATCTATGGATGGGCATCTCCATAGCCCGTTGATACGCCTAGTTGATGTGAGTCTATCTTCTCCCTTTTTGTCTTCTCAACAACCACCATTCTATTCCACTTATAGTGCTATATCCATGGCTCACGCTCATGTATTGCGTGAAGATTGAAAAAGTTTGAGAATGTCAAAAGTATGAAACAAATGTTTGGCTTGTCATCGGGGTTGTGCATGATTTAAATACTTTGTGTGATGAAGATAGAGCATAGCCAGACTATATGATTTTGTAGGGATAACTTTCTTTGGCCATGTTATTTTGAGAAGACATGATTGCTTTGTTAGTATGCTTGAAGTATTATTATTTTTATGTCAATATTAAACTTTTATCTTGAATCTTTCAGATCTGAATATTCATACCACAATTAAGAAGAATTACATTAAAATTATGCCAAGTAGCACTCCGCATCAAAAATTCTATTTTTATCATTTACCTACTCGAGGACGAGTAGGAATTAAGTTTGGGGATGCTTGATACGTCTCCAATGTATCTATAATTTTTGATTGCTCCATGCTATATTATCTACTGTTTTGGACATTATTGGGCTTTATTATCCACTTTTATATTATTTTTGGGACTAACCTACTAACCGGAGGCCCAGCCCAGAATTGCTGTTTTTTTTGCCTATTTTAGGGTTTCGAAGAAAAGGAATATCAAACGGAGTCCAAATGGAATAAACCTTTGGGAACGTGATTTTGTCACCGAACATGATCCATGAGACTTGGACCCTACGTCAAGAAACAAAGGAGGAGGCCACGAGGTAGGGGGGGCGCGCCCTCCACCCTTGTGGCCCCCCTGTTGCTCCACTGACATACTCCTTCCTCCTATATATACCTACGTACCCCCAAACGATCAGATACGGAGCCAAAATCCTAATTCCACCGCCGCAACTTTCTGTATCCACGAGATCCCATCTTGGGGCCTGTTCCGGAGCTCCGCCGGAGGAGGCATCGATCACGGAGGGCTTCTACATCATCACCATAGCCCCTCCAATGAAGTGTGAGTAGTTTACCTTAGACCTACGGGTCCATAGTTATTAGCTAGATGGCTTCTTCTCTCTTTTTGGATCTCAATACAATGTTCTCCCCCTCTCTTGTGGAGATCTATTCGATGTAATTTTATTTTTGCGGTGTGTTTGTTGAGACCGATGAACTGTGGGTTTATGATCAAGTCTATCTATGAACAACATTTGAATCTTCTCTGAATTCTTTTATGTATGATTGGTTATCTTTGCAAGTCTCTTCGAATTATCAGTTTGGTTTGGTCTACTAGATTGACCTTATTGCAATGGGAGAAGTGCTTAACTTTGGGTTCAATCTTGTGGTGTCCTTTCCCAGTGACAGTAGGGGCAGCAAGGCACGTATTGTATTGTTGCCATCGAGGATAACAAGATGGGGTTTTCATCATATTGCATGAGTTTATCCCTCTACATCATGTCATCTTGCTTAAGGCGTTACTCTGTTTTCATGAACTTAATACTCTAGATGCATGCTGGATAGCGATCGATGAGTGGAGTAATAGTAGTAGATGCAGGCAGGAGTCGGTCTACTTGTCTCAGACGTGATGCCTATATACATGATCATACCTAGATATTCTCATAACTATGCTTAATTCTGTCAATTGCTCAACAGTAATTCGTTCACCCACCGTAGAATACCTATGCTCTTGAGAGAAGCCACTGGTGAAACCTATGGCCCTCGAGTCTATCTTCATCATATTAATCTTCCAATACTTAGTTATTTCCTTTGCCTTTTATTTTACTTTGCATCTTTATTATAAAAATACCAAAAATATTGTCTTATCATATCTATCAGATCTCACTCTCGTAAGTGGCCGTGTAGGGATTGACAACCCCTTATCGCGTTGGTTGCGAGGATTTATTTGTTTTGTGCAGGTACGAGGGACTCGCGCGTAGCCTCCTACTGGATTGATACCTTGGTTCTAAAAAACTGAGGGAAATACTTACGCTACTTTGCTGCATCATCCCTTCCTCTTTGGGGAAAACCAACGCAGTGCTCAAGAGGTAGCACCCGTGCGCACGGGGTGCTACAGCCGTAGCTTCCCGTGTAGTCCGTGGGCACGGGGTCTCAGGGGCCCGTGCACACGGGGTCGCCTGGGACCTTTGGTCCTGCTCCTTTGTGCTCCCTTCTTCTTCCTCAAGGCCTTGGGGTCGTTCTCCTACTCCTTGGTGATGCTCCTTAGCCGCTTGGGAGTGTTCCTCTTCATACCTAATGCTACATAGTGCATTTTGGTGAGGTAGCACCCAAGTTCCACTCGTGTCCATATGCACGTCAAGTAGGAAGGAGTTCACCTTGGTTTCCATTGTGCGTGCTCTAGCTCTTGTCATGGGTCCATGTGGTGCTTGATGTGTTGGTGTAGAGTCCATGGGATGATGGAACGATGCTCCACATCATCTCCCCCCTTGGGAGAGATTCGTATGCGGATCGTGATCTTCATCACCATGGTACTTGGCCAAGTCCTTAACATTGAAGATGTTGCTTACATTGTACTTGTTGCGCGGGATGTCTATCTTCTAGGCGTTGTCATTGTAGCGTGTGAGCACCTTGAATGGTCCATCGGCTCGTGGTAGTAGCTTTGACTTGTGCTCGTTGGGGAAGCGGTCCTTGACGCTTGATGTTTGTCCTTGTATCTTCATGCATCTTCTTGAGAAAGCTTGCCCTTGCACTTGCATCCATCACTACTGTAGGATGCTGCTAACACGACACTACAATCAGAGACCCTTCAACGAAACTGTGTGCGATGCAATAATCGCAAACGGTGGTGTAAAAATACCATAAAAAAGGTGCAAATTGTTTGTGATGGAGGATGCATCAAACACGGTTCATATTTTAGTTGCGTGTGCGGTGCAGGGCATACGGTTCAGTTCAATTAACTGTTTGCAATGAGGAGGAACAAAAGAAACAGGCAGCCAGATGAAGGTGTGTGCGATGTATAGCATACGGTTCACTCGGATGAACTGTTTGTGATTAGGCAACACAAAAGAAACGATCAGCTAGATCAAGGTGTGTGCGATATACGACATGCGGTTCACTTGGATGAACTGTTTGCGTTGAGACAAGAGAACATAAATAGTTCAATAACAAGATGTATGTGATACACAGCAAACAGGTCTATAATCATAAGCGTGTGCGAAGACATATAACAACACAGACGATTGCTGCTAACACCCCGTGTGTGCTGTGAGCAAACAATTACTGGTATACAATTGTGAGTGATTGATGAAAACATCACTGACGGGTTCCATTGTTTAGTCCGTGTGCGATGTGATTTTCTTTGTCCGCACAACATCTCCGCTCTGTCTACAAAGCATCAACATATATACTTAAAAAGACAGCATTGCATAACCAAATTAAGCATACAATTACACAAGTGACTACACACATAACATTTACACACACCAAAGTAAGCAATTACATGCATACTAAACTAGGAGAATCGAGGATCTAATCATCTAGTTATTGTGCCATTGCTCTGCTTCCGGTTGGATCCTTGGCCGTTTTGGGGGAAGGAGGCACTTCCTCATGTCAACGATCCGCCTGTACATGTCTTAGCTCGTGTACGCCTCCTTGGCCGCGTACATGATGTGAGCTTTGTCGAGTTTCTCCATCCAGGCCGAATGCCAGGCACGCTTGTCCTTGTTGCACAAATCCTTCATGTCTCTGTGGTAGGGGTCAATATGGCCTCGACGAGGTGAAC